TCTTATAAATGTTTTTTTCAGGTTGATAACTTTTTTTCTTTTTTTTTTTAATTTTTTCCAAATGAAGTTTTTCAATCTTTTTCTTTTCAGGTGTGTTAGAATATGTCGTTGACTTGATTTCCTCTTTATTTATTTTGTCTTTAAGAAACTTTAGGCAAGGGCCGCACTTGAAAAATGCCACATAAAAATGGCACATAAAAATGCCACATAAAAGTGTGGCATTTTTCTAATGCCACATTTTTATTTTTTTATTTCTATATGTTTTTGTTACATATTTTCGAGGGATCTAAAAGATAAGAGAAATAAATTATTGTGGTATTTTCAAGCACCGGTCGAATGTTCCCCAGCTAGGTAGGTCGAATGTATCCCACTCGTGTTATATATAAACAAACGCTGTTAAAAGCCAAGATCAATTTTTTAAAGTAAACCAAACACAAAGGTTTTTAACTCAAGATATCATTAAGCAATAAACAACAAAAAAGTTCCGGAGGTTAAATTGGAAAAGAGATTCTCTGCGGGTTATTTAAAGCATAAAAAATTACCTTTTGCATCAATAATTAGATTTTTTCTATATAAGTACTAATACTAATAAAGATGGATCGATATTTATTTCCCGCGATAGCTTACTAACAGACAAAACATGGATAAAGATTTTAAGTGGTAATTTTTATCATGTCGGGAAATATTTGAAAAGGTCGAATGTTCCTCATGGTCGAATGTTCCCCGTCTTCCCCTACAAAAATGTATACAATAATATTATTGAAGTTTTAATAAAAAATTATCAAAAAAAAAAGCATTATTTTTTAAAGCCTAGTTTCCTGGTAAATAATGTTGTTATTTGCAAATGATAAACAAATTCTTTATTAGTTTAACTTGTTTTGGTAGATCTTTTACTTTGTATTTCTATATAAAATCTCATTGTTCTAGTTTGTTGTTGCAAAGAGCAGGAATTCCATAAAAAATTTCTTGGTACACCAGGTAGTCCGTATGGAGTGATAGTGCTTTTCACAATTCAGTAGAATTATTATCTGTTGAAATCAATTTATTACCTTTTCACAATTCAATAGAGTTATTATCTGTATTGCTGTTAAAAACAGTATTAAAATTGAGATGAATTTATAACATTTTTCTTTCTTGGAATCAAACTAATGTCCACTTAAGAGTGTTCGACGGTCTTCATTTTACATTCTACGAATTTTTTTTTACGTTTTTTGGTCTGTTTTATTCTCTTTAGCATGTTTGTCAATTTAGCTCGCATGTACTTTTTTCGCATTTAACTCAACAAAAAATTTGTCACATAATTGCATATTACATAACTGCAAATTGGCAATTCGTACATATGTCAACTCGCACTTTTGCCAATGTTTGCAAGTTTATTCGGCGCACTTATGCCAGTTCGCCCTTATATCAGTTTTTGCAACTGCATCGCACTTATGCCAGTTCACACTTATGTTAGTATTTGCAAGTTTATTTGGCATACTTATGCCAATTCACACTTATGCCAGTTCGCACTTTTGCCAGTTTTCGTAACTGCTTTACACTATGCTAGTTTGCACTTATGACAGTTCGCACTTTTCCCAAGTTCTTTTCGAGCACTTATGACAGATTACACTTGGCTTAGTTAGTTTTTGCAACTAATTCACAATTATGCTAGTTTGCACGTATGCAAATTCGCACTTATGCAAGTTCGCGCTTGCGCCAGTTCGCACTTACGCCATTCGCACTTATGTCAGCTCGCACTTTTGAAATCAGCGCCTATTCAGTCGTTTGTTCAAAAAAATCTATTTTTAGAACACAAATTTCAGTCATATAGCCAAATCCCTTAAATTGAGACCGTTAAATAATAACAAAAGAATAAAATTTGACTTCAGTTTTATAATGGTTTCTTTTACATAAGTATGAAAAAAAGGCCAAAAATTCGTTTTTACATAATATTGTTCATTGTCTAAATAAATAATACCGTACATTGGAGAATATTGATGTTTTTGAATTACCAAAGCTTTTCAGACTTTTTTATTAAATTTTTTTTTAGCCTTGCTTTAAGTGTTTTTGCCTTTTCCCATTTAATGTCCTCATTGCAATTTATTCTATGTAAAGCTAATGCAGACTGGTTTAGCTTACCTTCAATCAAACATTTCTGGTGTTGTTGAACCTTTGTTCGTATATGAAGTTTTGATTCACCAACATTTTGAAGTGTTTGCACTTAATTAAATAGGTTCTTGGTTGGCTTTTATTTGGTAATTTTGATTTATTTCTAGACGTTGATAGCGTTTTTAAATTGACTTTTGATTTAAAAATAGTTCTGTGATCAGCTTTTCTGAATTTTTTTCTAAGCCTATGAGATATTATTGGTATCCATGGTAAAGAGATTGTAGCAAGGTTAATAGAGTTTGCATGAATTTTATGTTTATTTGCTAAACATTTTTTTATAACCTGATAAAAAATATCTTAAAACATTCTTTTATTGTACCCATTTTCAGTAGACACTTTTATTAAGAAATTTATTTTATCTTGTAAATGATTTTTCTGCATATCGAATAGTCTCTGTGTATGTATCCGTTGAATATTGTTTTAAAATTTTGTGATTGTGATTCGAATGAGGTTTGATTTGTTGTTTGAAGTTCACAATATTAAAAGATACATGTATCTAATCGTTATCTATTGACCACAACTTCATTTTGTTAATAAAATAATTTGAGTTTTTTAACATTTTTATTCAAAAAAATTAAACAAAAAAACGAAAAAATTTAAACGTTTAAAGAGTTAAAGTCTCAACAGAAAAAATCTTTTCTGTTGAGACTTTAACTCTTTGTAATGTTGAACAATTATCATTTTGCATATAGATGTCTCAGAAGATTTTATCAAATTTTACAAACTTTATAATATCAAAATTGGAAATATTGTTAGTCATATTATGGACATTCTCTTAAGGTGTAAATTAAATTTAGACAATTGCCGTGGCCAAACGTATGGTGGCGCGAGCAATATGATGGAGAAGCAGTCAGGTGTCTCAACATATATTTTTTGCTGAACAACCGAAAGCTTTAGCTACTTATTCTCAAAGGCTTTCGTAGTCTGGCAATCAAATCACTAACAAAAGATTGTGCAATTCGTCATGATTTTAGGAGAACCGCGAAGGAATTATGCGTGTTAATTAAATATTCACCAAAACGATAAAAGATGTTGGGGAAAATATTAAATAAGAATTAAACAAAAGTTTGAAAAACTTTGCGTAACAAGGTGAACCATTAGGGCAAAGTGTTTCAAAAAAATACTGGATAGCTACGAAGCATGTTAGAGTTATGGAAGCAATCGTTAGCAAAAAGTTTGGATTTGGTACAAGGTCAAGAATTGAGGGTTATAAAAATTAAATGAACTTATTCCCTTTTTATTTTGGTCTAAATTTAAACCATCGTCTTTATGCAATCACAGATAACCTCTCTAACATTATACAGAATGAAAAGATGTCTGCCTATAAGGAGAAGAGCTCGCTTATCTAGTTGTAGCAACATTGGAAAATATGAGAAACAAACGCGATTTCAGCCTAATATACGAAAATATAAAGTCGTCAGAAAGCAAAATAAAAATCATTTCACCGCCTCGTCTCCCTAGAAAGCGAAGAAAGTCTATTTACTCTTTAGCACGTTATGGCACAGGAAATACAGAGGCAACAGCAACAGCACAATATCCCAAAAATATAAGCGAACATTACAAACCTATCTCCTATAAAACTCTTTATTCTATTATTAATTCCATTAAAAATAGATTTGATTCACCAACCTTCAATCTATTTTCACAAGCAGAGAAGTTATTTTTAAAAGCAGCAAACAAACAGTTTTTAACAGATGATTTGAAAGTATTGGAGACGCATTTTAAAGGTGGTTTTGATGTTGATTCATTAACTTCAAAGCCACCTCTAGGCAATTTTTATATTATCGCTAAGAAAGGAAGTGTCAACTTCCTTTCAAATGCTCTTCTATGGTGTTCTGTGATAAGACCGTTTATACTTCTTGGCGCCTAAAATAAAATAAAAAAGTTGTGGAGAATTAAAAAATGGCTTCGATTAAGAATGAGATAAAAAAAAGCTCAATTTTTTATCTTTTTTTTAATGAAAACAAAACATTTTTTGACGAATATCACTAATTGATAAAGTAAATGAACTTGTCGCTTATCACCAAGATCGAAAAAACAATTTTGGTAGTTTTACAGCAAAAGATCTTTAGGTTCGATTTGCATGCATTTTGCTCACAATCAATTTTCTTTTGTAATTTTATTTTTTTCTTATTTTCATTTTAAAGGCTTTTTTTTTTGGGAAAATAAATGGTAGGTATCAAAACAAACGTTCTATGGTAAAAAGTAGCTTTTCTATAGCCTTTAGAGAGGTTTTGTATGGCTCCCAACTATTGAGGGCAATATTGAAAAATTGAATATTTTTTTTCATATTATATAATATATATATATATATATATATATATATATATATATATATATATATATATATATATATATATATATATATATATATATATATATAAAATTAAATCTTTTGAAAAATATTTTTAAGAATTGCGCTAGACCTTAAACATTAGACAGGTCCCAAATATTAAAAAAAAAATTCATATTTAAAAGTATGTCATGTTCGATCTCAAAAAGAATCGAAATTATAAATGAATTTCAAAAATAATTATTATATAATGTTAAAAAACCATAGTTTTTTAATTTTAGTTTTTATGCAATAAAATCTATAATAATAACTTGTATTCAATATATGTTTATATGTATATGTATATATATATATATATATATATATATATATATATATATATATATATATATATATATATATATATATATATATATATATATATATATATATATATATATATATATATATATATGTCCACACATATACATACATACAATGTTCGAAAGTAGACATAGGCTCCCACTTTAGGAAGCTATCGTTTTAAAATATAATAAACGACAAATAAAGAGATTTATTTATAATAAATATTTTATTTTTCGTGTAAAAAAATTGTTCGTGTTTTTAGGCCATAAAATATGTACAAATGCCAATAAATAAAAATCCACATAATGTACAATAAGCGTAAACATTTACATAGAATTTTTGTAGTTAAAATCATAAACATAATCGTTAAAGTAAATTTGAAAAGATCGCGAAAAAATTAAGACATTGCCCAAAATTTACAAAAAGAAACATTCTAAAGAATGAAAAACGCAACCAAAATATCAATTGCACTTTCATCATTTAACCTGAGACTCAAATATTTCTTTACGGTTGGGATTTTTCATTCTCTCTTTTTTTTTTCTTTTTTTTTTTTTGCGTATGTTCATTGATGGGTCATTTTTCAAAAAACTTACGTTATGTAATTTGACACCGTTTCCTAGTAATTAAGCTTTTATAATTTGAGAAATTTTACAGAAGCACAAAAATAATTTCATTTTTGAGAAGCAAAGCCGTCTTTGAAAAGAAACCCGCAAATCCAAAATAATATATTATTAAAATAAAAGCATATTTTATAAATATAGCATGTAAACTACAATATTTTTGGCAATTTTTAAGTCCGTTTTATGAACAAACATTGCATAACCATGGTAATATACATTAAATTTTAGAAGTTCTATATTTATGAAAATTGCTTTTAATTTAATTTATAAAGAAAAGAACAATCATAAACCTATTGAATAAATTTCGGAACTCATTGAATCAAGATTGTCTACTCCGCTTTGATTTCGATTTTGGTTTCTTGTGCTCGAACGACTGCAACGAACAGTTGCAACACGTCTTTTTTTAGCACTAGGGGAGCGACCTGCCCTAGGTGATTTAGTTTTTTTAGCTTGAGTACTTGATTTTAATGCTACGATGGTGGTGGACGATAAAGCGATTTTACAAGTATGTGGAGTTGTTCCAGCCCCGCAATCACAAAAAAACCTTTATTAAAAAAAAATTTAACGCATAATTAAAAAATAGTTCTAAAAAAACTAAAAACAAAGTACAATTAATAGTAAAGGAAAAATCACCGAACAATTTTATAATACGAATAATAAAATATAGAATAGAAAATAAAAAAAATTAAACCTGTCATGTCGAACAAATTCAACATCGTGTCCACTGTGACATATTTCTATACAATTGACACAAATTGCTAAATTCTCAGTAGACGAACATGTTAAACATCTGTAATGAATAATAAATAATAATAACAACAAATAAGCAAATAATAATAATAAAATAATAATAATAATAAGAAACAAACAATGAAAAATAAAATTAAAAAAATATAGTATATATGATAAGACAGACCTAAAAAAGTCGTGCATCGGATAGCAACTACTACCAGATACTTGATATAAACATTTGCCAGCAGAAATTGCCTCAGCAAGTGCCATTTTATTGTCGTGACAATTATTTTCTAACATTTTTGGCTTTACACCAGTTGCAAGGCATATACCGTCAAATCGATTGTTAAAAATTTCATTACGCTGTAATACACCACCTAAAAATCAAATAATTAACTCTTTATACTGCTATCACTTAATATTATTCCTTTTGAAATTCAAGTTATACACCACCTTAAATTAATTTATTAAATAACTAGATTTTACAAAAAAAACTTGCAAAAAGTTTAAACTTACCAGCACCATTTGTAATTTCAATTCCTGCAGCTCCTCCATCAAATATACGATTTCTTCTCAAAACTGGAAAGCTTGATGTACTAATTAAAACTCCGGTCAGTGAATTACGAAATATATCATTTTCTTCCAGCAGCCCTTTGCCATTATTGAAAATGCAAACTCCTCCTTCATGGCCATCATGAATCTTATTACGCCTTAATATAGGATTGCTTTCTGTTTTAATCCAAACACCAGCCATAGCATTATCAAATATTTCATTGTCTTCTAAAATACCCTGTCCACCATTGTATATTAAAACACCCCCATTCTTTCCTCCCCATATTTTATTCTGACGAATAACTGGATTACTACCACTCCTAAATAAGTGTAATAAAATATTGCAAATATATTTTTTAAAATTTTAGATAAAAAAAATAAATTTTTGTTCTTATGAGTGCTAAAAATAGTTGATAGCAATAGCAATAAAATATGAAAATGATTGAATGACTTGGGTAACTAAAAATTGGGTCTAAACCTAATTCTTATTCAACCATCATTTACAAGAATTTCTCGTAGTAACACCCAATTATGCTTTATGAATGAAAAAGGTGCAAACAACCATCTAATGCACTAAAAACTAAAAAACTTTTAATTATTTTTAATTTTGCTTAACTAATTAATGTTCTCTTTAAACTAATTAGTGTTCTCTTCAAACTATAAATTGCAGTTAAAATAGTACAAATACAAAAACAGACATCAGATAAAACATCAGATCAGACATTTATAAAACTTCAAAGCAGTAAAATTACTCTAAGCTGTAACTTGTATAAAATCAACTTTAACTTTGACCATTGCTCAAAAAGAAATCAATTTCAAATCAAATTTGGATAAAAAGTGTTTTTATCCAAATTTATCAAAATTGGTAGATGCTCCAAGTTAATTTAACATTTTTGAATGACAAACAAACAGTTGCAAAAACTTAGTGCAATTATGTCAGAATGGATTGTATGTTGTTTAAATGTATTGAAAAGAAAAAATATTTAACATTTGAACGCTCCATGCTAAATTTCCGTTTTTAAAACAGGACTTTTAAATCTGTCAAATTAGAAATATAAACAAAATACAAAAATAGTTTTAGTACAGTATTTTTACATATTAATGAAAAAAATGTTGATAAAAAAAAAGTTAAAACAGCATTTTTAAGTAACTAACATTTTCAGTGCATTTAAGAATAAATCCGAAGATTTTGCATTTCATAAAAGCCTTCTATTATCTATGTTTTCTGCTTATTTTCAACCATTACTATTACATATTTTTATGAAGTAATATTTTCTTAATAAATTTTTTTTACTTATAAAATTTTTTTGTTCAAGTAGCTTAAGTGTAATCTCATTCTATATTATCTTTTTAAAATCATATCATACAAAAAGCTCATTCTATATAATCTTTTTAAAACCATTTTTCATATCAAATGTCATATAAAATAAAACTAAAAATCAAAATATCACTAAAATACATAAAACAATGTATAATGTAAAAACAATGTATAATGAAATGGGGCAATGATTTAACGAAATAGGGCAATGATTTTAAAACCGATGAGACAAATATCTTGAGTATTTACAATCCATTAATGTCTGCTTTATTTTAAAATAAAATTCTAGTCTCCTAGTGTGCAACACTTAAATATTAGATAAATGGCTGAAAACTTTTAGCTTTCAGTAAATAATTTTAACACATAAATTATAACCTCAGATAATTTAGATAAAAAATCTCTCTATAGTCGGTTGAAAAAAGTAATCAAACAAATTGTTTTAGTTTAGACATAAATCTTGCCCCATAGTAATTGGCTAAATTTTGAAACTCATAAAGCATTAAATTACCCAACATTTATAAATATCTTGCAAACTTATTTTTGGAAAGCCAATCAAATATAGCTTTGTGAACTGATATTTACTTAAGGGCCTTCCATAAAGTACTTATGCATATATGAGGGAGAGGGAGTCACTAAAAACGTACAAATGCATACAAGGGATGGTGGGGTGGAGGTTAAAACAGTAAGTACATACGATGACTATATATACATACGTATATATATATATATATATATATATATATATATATATATATATATATATATATATATATATATATATATATATATATATATATATATATATATATATATATATATATATATATATATATATATATATATATATATATCTGTGTGTGTGTGTGTGTGTGTGTGTGTGTGTGTGTGTGTGTGTGTGTGTGTGTGTGTGTGTGTGTGTGTGTGTGTGTTATAAAAACAATTATATTTTTGAACACTAAATCATAAAAATAGCTGGTATGGCTTCAGTAATGTATTAAGATAAATACTTTTTCAGGGTTCCCATTTGTAAATCTAAGAGTAAAATTAAAGATTTTAAGGAGATTTAAGGAGATATTTTCCTAATATTCAAGAAGATTTGGTCGCGAACGACATTTTTTTGAAAGAAAAAGTAAGGATAATTAAGGAGAAAATGATAATCTTATTTATTTAATTCTTATTATTACATTAAAAAACTAATCTTTTTTTTTTCAATAAATTTTAAATATAAATAGAGAAATTATTATTACTATATATATATATACATATATATATATATATATATATATATATATATATATATATATATATATATATACATATATATATATATATATATATATATATATATATATATATATATATATATATATATATATATACACATATATATATATATACTATATATATATATACATATACTATATATATATATACTATATATATATATACATATATATATATATATATATATATATATATATATATATATATATATATATATATATATATATATATATATATATATATATCAAAAGTATAAGATAACAACCAATCGGATTTGTTTAAAATTATTGGCCCTTTTTTTTCACAAGTTTGTTTGTTCTATGCCTTAGTTGCATTGAGTAACCAATTTAAAAAATGAACGAATTATCACCAAGTTCTCTAAATCTATCATTCATGGTCTTCAAAGTAACTTTCCTTCTATTGAGTTTTATCTCTTACAAAGTTCACCAGACCTACTTGCTCTATGTGAGCCTAATTTAAAGTTCTGCGGTCTCATCTTGTGATCTTAGTGATCATGGTTATATAACTATAATTTGTTAAGTCACATGCTTGGCCTGGGCATTTACATTTGTAAAAATTCACTCATTTGTCTAGAAAGTAAGTTTGCACCCACAGACTATTCTTTTATGTGCTTTCGCTTATCTCCACTTCATTCTATTTTTCTTTGTTCTATATCAGTATCAGTGACTCTGCAGGTATTAAAACCCACAACTTTTTCCATTTTCAATCTCTAACACAAATAATCAACTTTACAACTCGCTTTCCAGACAATCAGAATCATTTATCTACTCTATTCAACTTATGTCTTGTTTCTGATCCTAGTCAGTGTTCAGTTTCTCTACATTTGCCCTTAGGTACTTCTGATCACGGTTTGATCTCTCTAAAACTATTATCTCATTCTTCTTCACCATTCTTCACCATCAGAATCCCACTATCATTGTACCTTTTACAACTACTTTAAAACTGACTGGGACCGCAATTTTCTCTTGCTTTCCGTAATTTGCTTTGTGATAGCCCTTGGGTAGAAATCTTTCGTATTTCTGCTGGCAAATGTCCCTCTTATGTAACTTCTTGGATTCAGGCTGGCATGGAATTTTTTATTCCTTCTCAATAATTTTAAGTCAAGCCTTACTCTTCTTTGTGGTTTTCCTCTCATTGTGCTACTGCAATTTCTAATCATAACCATTACTAAAACATCTATTGCCAAAACAATTCTTCAGGAAACAGATGTCTGTTTACTATCGGTAGAAACCATTGTAAAAAAGTTTTGATTACACTAATCAAATCTTACCTGATACAGCCAATAAACAAGTTGATTTATTGCTTGACATTCATATCACTTCAGCTTTTGTATTTAAAGTGATTTCATCTTTAGACACTTCTACAGCTTGTGGTCCATATAACATACCTGTTATAATCTTATAGCAGAAATGTTCTGCAGAACTGTTGTCTGTACTTTCAAAAAAGTGCTTATCAGAGTCTTGTTTTCCAGCCTGCTGGAAAGCGGCATCTGTTATCCCTATTTTCAAAAACTCAGGAGACTAATCTGACTGGTCTAACCTCCGCTCTATTAGTCTAATCTCTCATCTTGAATCTAATAACTTACTTTCTGATTATCAATATGGATTTTGATCTCCTTGTTCTACTGATGATTTATTAATGGTAATAACCAACTTAGATAGATGTGGAGAGGTTAATGGGTATCGCTCTCAATATTTCTAAAGTCTTTGATAAAGTTTGGCACGCTAGTCTCTATAAGCTCTTTTATTACAGTGTATCAGGTAACATCTTTAAGACTATTGAATCCTTCCTTACCAACCGTAGTATAAAAGTTGTCCTTGATGGACAGCACTCTTTTTCATTTCCTGTAACTTCAGGGTTTCCTCAAGGTGCTATCCTTGGCCTTATACTTTTTTTAATTTACATTAACAATCCCTCAAAATTTATCACATCACAAAGGTGGCATTGTTTGCTGATAATGCTACCATTAATTATTATCTTGATAAGAAGCCAACATTCTATAATTGCTTGGACAGGGTGTTTGAGCTTGAAAAAGACCTTACTTCTGCATGGGGCTCTCAGTGGCTAATCAACTTAAACTCAGACAAAACTCATTTTTTTTAGCTAACCATTATCACAATAATCTAGATCTTCCTATATTTATAAAGAGTAATGTACTCGAGTCATCTTCTAGGATTAACTCTTACTTCCAATCTTTCTTGGAAACCATATATCAAACCCATTGCAAAATTACCATCTGCTAAGGTTGCATCTCTTTATTGTACTAATCTTTTTCCTACTCTGGATTCTATTCTTTATTTTTATAAATCTTAAATCTGTCCTTGTATAGAATACTGTTGCCATATCTGAGGTGGATCTTTCAATGATGCCCTTCCTTTTTAGACAAAGTGCAAAAACACATTGTAACCTTCGCTTATTGCCACATCGTTGTAATGACGCTTCTCTTTTTCTTTTCTATAAATGCTATAATGAGAGCTGCTCTAAAGAGTTAGCATCTCTTGTGCTGTCTACTAAAATTAATTCTGGTGTAATTTATCATTCAATTAAGCCTCATCTTTTTACTGACTGTTCTTAAGTGCTAAAAAAATATTTTTCCTCGAACATCAGTTTTTTGGAATTATTCAACAGTACTCCCAAAAAACACTGGGTTCGTCACAGGAAGGGTGCATACAGGTTTGTACAAAGGAGGAGGCATGTACTTTATGGATATCCACTTAAAATATAAAATCAAGCGGAAAGAAATTTGTTTATTTTGTATTTTCATTTTGGATTGACAAAAAAAAGAAAAAAGAAAAAACTTTTTCACCAGTTAATTATAAGAGAATTTTAAATCAATCAGAACTCACAAAACAAAAACAAAAAAAACAAAAAAAAAAACTCGATAAAATAAAATATTTTTTATTAGATCTCTACTTAAATGCTATCAAAATAAAACATAAAACTTCAACTAAATAGTTATAAGCAGGCCTTGTTGTGAGATTTTATTGCATAACGAAAAGCCCTAACTCTAATAAATTTAACTTTAACACAGTTTTGATATTTATATCGTTAAAAGTTAAATTGCTTCATAAGCATATTTTAGAGTACAACACTGTAATTAAATTAAATTTTAAACTGTATTAAAAATCATACTTATATAACAAAAATTACTGTTTCAATTCGGTATTTGAAAAAGATTGCATTTTCTTATAATTTATTTCTTAAAACAATCTTCTACTAAACATAAACTATTGGTTGTTTATCACTAACTTATTTATTATATTTTTATGTAGTTAATGTAATATTTTTAATAATGACTATAAACAATTTATAGATAGATTTTATCAGTTACCAATAAGAAAACCTAAATTAGGTTCATAAATAAATTACATTAATATATATATATATATATATATATATATATATATATATATATATATATATATATATATATATATATATATATATATATATATATATATATATATATACATATGAAATGATAAGTAACACAAAATTTTTAATAAACTTGTGAAAAGAATTTTCTGAAACAAATACAATACTCCTTTTTTATAAGAAAAAAAAAGTTTTTATTTCCTTTTGTATTTAATCTATGATGGAGGGAATTGTATTTTATGTTATGATCTAGTAAGAGATAATTATATTTAGGTAAGAAAAAATTTCTTCAATAAATAAACTATAATAAAGGTTTTGCTTAACGTAAAAGAGCTGAACATGTACGGAAATCCCCATTTTGTATGTAAAATGTGAGCTGCGAAATGCTTTTTAACAAGGCCTGTAAAAATATTTAAAATTGCACCCAATAACAGAATACACTGGTATATTAAAATAAAATAAGAAAAAACACTTTTAAAAATTATGCACTCATGTCCTAAGAGAAACACACTCATATCATAAGAAATAAGTTACTTCTCAATAGAGAAAGCTGTCGATGTATCACAGGATTAGTAAGTGGCAAAGGCCCTGACTAAATATGGAATTTTTTACAACCCCGACCTAGCTAAATAAAAATATTAGCAAGGGTTGTTAACTGAGGTTAGCATATTTTATATATTACATTATATAATATATACAGTTGAATCCCGTTAACTCGGACCCTGGATAAGTTGGACTTTTACTAAGTCGGACGGAAATTCAATTCCCCTTAAATATTCCCTATCAACTTATTTGCTTAAGTCAGACCATTCGCTAACTCGTACTGTTTTTTGAGGTCCCTCCGGCAAAAAACTTCGCTTAACTAGGACTTTTATTTTGAATTGCATATATGTGCATACAATAACAAAACTTCCAATACTTCAATAAAAATTCCGAACATTCAACGCTCGAAAATAAAATACTTTTGAATCAAATATAATTAAATATAGCTAAACATTTTCACGGAGATCTTTTGATTCAGTTAAGCTTCTATTAAATTTTATTTAGTTAGTAACTATTACATTGAAAACTCAAAAATATTAATTAAAATTCAAAACTTAGAATGTTCGAAAATATATTACCTTTGTGTCAAACACAATTTAACGAACTAAACATTTTCACTGATATCTTCGATTCGATTTTACTTTGATCAAGTTTTATTTACTAAAAATGACGAAAGTTGCTCAAAGTAAGCTATCAAGTAGAACTATAACAGAAAAATACAAAATACTAAAGGAACTTGACAAAAGAGAATCATCTGTAACTATATCAAAGAAATATGGCATTCTAAAGCAAATATTGCCTGGATGGTCAAAAGAAAAAAAACACAATACATTCAGAAGTTGAAAAAATAAAAAAACTTCTGCAAAAAGAGTGCGGATGCGTGTCTGCCTAAAGAAGGATTTGGATAAAGCATGTAACATAAATTTGGATAAAGCATGAAACATCTGAGGAAACGGTGACAAAGCCAACAACTGAAGAAGTTTGTAAAGCAATTGATAGTGGTGAAACTGGAAGAGTAGGTTTGAATGCTTCAAAGCTGTTTGAAAAAGAATGGTGCGAGTCACTGAAACAAACATCAGTTTTGGACTTTTTTCGTTTATAGTATATATTATATATACAAAAATAAATATTTCACATAAGATTATATTGTTATATATATATATATATATATATATATATATATATATATATATATATATATATATATATATATATATATATATATATATGTACATAACATTTATATCTCATAATATTATAAATTTAAGTCAAGTCAAACATTTTCAAAATGTCAGACTTAACGAGAGCTTTGCTTGATTCTCACATTGGCTAAGTTGGACAATAAATATATATCCCTTCGGAGTTCGAGTTAACGAGATTCTACTGTACTTTCAACTCAGAATCAGGAAAAATGAGTTCGGCAATAATTTGCTACTTCAATCTTTTAGAGGTTGGCATCAGGTAGACAAGAATTATTTGATACAAAGGTCTTACCATAAAACAAAATGAAAAATTTGCTGAAATTTCTGAAAAGCAGCCAGCAATTTTTTATCAACCACAAACACTTTCAGGTTGGCAGTTAGCTCAGCATTGCCGAATGCTGACCCTAATTCTGAGGCTTGTACTTAGTAATAAATTATTAGACAAGCATATTGCCCATCAAAACCATCAAAAGCTACACGTCTTTAAAAAGTCAGACTAGTTTCAAAATACAATGACTAATCTTAATTTTGGAACATAATGAATACCTTATTTGTATTCCAGAATACTTGTGGTTGTATATTTCATTATCTTCAAGTGTTCCACATCCTTTGTCATAAAAATACACACCAACCTGATAATAATATAAAAAATATTTACCAAGAACTTGTAAAATATTCACTAAGTACGTGTTTAAAAAAAAGAGAAAATATAAAAGATAAACCAATAAAAATAAATATATAAAATTAATATATTTTTTTAATTTTGAATTAGAACTTATTAATGTTATATATATGAGGTGCCGCTGTTAATTCAGTATTAGATGCAGGTTCAAACGCTTTTATATAAATAAAACATAAAAAAAACATATACTTTTTCTGTTTTATTTGCTTAGTAGACATTAGAAAATATCAAAGTTTAAATAATTTTTAAATAAATTTAAAAAGAAAACATTTTTATGTTTTATTTTTTCTGGTTTACCTTTTACTTATTTTATCTTTTACTTATTTTATCATTCACTTATTTTATCTTTTACTTATTTTATCATTTTTACCTTTTACTTATTTTACCATTCAATAAAATTTTTATATTTCCAAGTTAATTTTTTTTATTTTTTTATTTTTTATATCTCTTTTTACTTCATGGTTTGTTTATAATTAATTTTTAAGTTTACTTTGCATTTTTCAGCAAATTTTTTAAACACTTTAATTATCAAAACTTGCAAAGAGCCATGGCCAAGTTGTCAAAACAAAATATTATATGCGTGGTCATATGAGGCGCGCAGTTGCAAGCCTCTTACAAGAAGGCATGTAGTTTATAAGTAACTTATAATTTTAATTACCTGTTTGCCGCTGTGTATTCTGTTATGCCGTAGAATAGGAGCACTTCCTGTTGTAATCCAAATTCCTGCTAAAGTGTTAGCATAAATTTCATTTTCTTCTATTAAACCCATCCCTCCTTCATGAATGTATATACCACCATGCAACCCGTGATGAATGCGATTCTTTCTTACAATTGGGTTACTATTTGATCTAATTTGTATGCCAGCTAGAGCATTACCATGGATATCATTGTTTTCAATTAAACCTCGTCCATCACCAAACACGTAAATTCCACCTTGCTGTCCATGATAAATTTCGTTATCTCTAAATGTCATAATGGATTTGTTGCGTAGAAATTCTTGATATAACTTTTTTTCATATTAACTCATTATTACTTCATAAATTCTTCATTTATTTAGATCAGAAATTCTGAAAACAATGGCCGAAAGATTTCTAACTTAAATTTACTATAAATTACATGCAACTTCGTTATTGTTAAAAAAAAAAAATTACTTAATGGTAGGATTACTCCCAGATGTCACCCACACTCCAGCAAAAGTGTTTGTATGAATTCTATTAGCAAGAAACTCTCCACGCCCATCATCATGAACATATATCCCACCAGTGAAACCATGATGTATATGACATCTCACAACTGTTGGATTAGCTCCTGAACGAACTTCAATTCCAGCAATTCGATTACTATGAACATCATTTTCTTCATAATAACCCTTGTAAGAGAAAAATTTATAAAAGTATTTTTAATGTCCTATTTTTTTTCTAAATTATTGATCACAATAAAATATAAAAAGCTTACCATACCACCATCAAAGATAAAAAAACCAGCATCTTTTCCATGGTGTACTTCATTTCTACGCATTATTGGATTGGCACCAGATTTGACCCAAACTCCTGCAAGTCGATTAGAAAAAATGTCATTATCTTCGTAAACTCCTTGTGCACCTTCACTAATAAACAGACCAACATTATCGCAATCCGATATTTTACAACGAACAATTCGTGGTGAGCAACCAGAACCATGCACATGAACAGCGGCAGCACCTAATACACATTCAAATGAAACAAAAAAGTAATACTAAAAAAACTAATTCTAAAAACTGCATATGCTTTGCGAAATTATAAAATTGTTTTATTTTAAAATAATAAAAAATAAGCTAACATGTGCTTTGTGAAGTTATAAAACAATCTTGTATAATTGGTGAGTTATCATTGCAAATTTCAATACAATGATGGCGTGTAGGTGCAACATTTTCTTGCCTTTGAATTGACAACCTTAAAAATGCTATATGACTTTTACCAGCACCTGGGCCAAGCTTCAAAACAGTTTGTGCAGAATTACAAATATGAACTTCATTTGGGCCACCAGGAGAACCTAAAAAATAATTATCTAGAACCTTGTATACAAATGTTATTGTTTTTTTTTTTTAATTTTAATCTCAAATTTTATTTTTACATAAATCTAAAAATTCAAATAAAAAACAGACCTGCTCCTATTAGCGTTACTGGTGAATTAATTTTTAAACTCTCCATATATGTATCTGGATGTATTAACAAAATACCACTAGTTGAATTATCTATTCCTTCTTGAATTGAAGAAAAACACTGAAAATAAATTTAAAAAATTCATACCAAATTTCAATAAAATTTGAAAAATGGATTTGCTGGTAACAAAATGTAAAACTAACCTTTCTTCCTAAATTTTCTAAAGACTTAATTAGCATTAGATCTTTTGTTATATGATTAGCCTTGATTAAAAAAGGGAATAATTTTTTCCATGACAGTTCCGGTTTTCCTGGTCCACTAATTAAATTAAAAACTTGATAGAGCTTTGTTGATGGGCATTTTTGTATTGGAGCTTCCAGTCTATAACAATTGTAATAAAGTCGTTTCCTAAAACACAAAGTTATACAATTATCATAATAGTCCTTACACAATTATTATTATATTTTATAAGTCACTTGCTGTTATTATTATTTTTTTTTTAATTTTAATTCACCTCCTCAAGGCCGAGAAGACCACTACAGACGAGGAGGCTACTTATTTGTGGCTATAACCCTCTCTCAACTCTATAACTCCGAAACACGAACCTTGACGAACAAGGCCGCTGCGCACAGAAACGAGTTGAGTGCGGTACTACCAGGGACGTGGTGGGGATCGAACTCGGAACCACTCGTTTATGAAGCGAGCGCTCTACCACTACACCACTACCGCATAATTTAATAACATAAAATATATCTATAAATTGTATTAACATTAGTAACCAACTGGGGCTAAAATTCTGTATAAGAGAGTGGCGGTCGTAACATTTGACACTCTTTAACTTATTAAAAATGAACAAAAAACGGAAATGACTTGAAACTTTCCAGAAATGTGAAACACTATCATATAAATTAGTATGTAAAAGTTACAGCATTAAAGTCTTCAACTTTTTTCAAAAATTAACTCTACATAATGTGACCATCATAACGCTTACTTTTAATTACTTCTGAACAAAACAATTTTGTCAGACTTAATGCAGTGAACAGCATGGTAAAAAAAAATCATTTGGTGTGTCTATTTAGCACATATTAATGTTATTATATGCTGAGTTTTATAGTTTTTATTTGAAGTTTTACAAGTATTTTTATGTTTTTTTTTTGTCGTGACAGTCATATAACAAAAAATTCAATGGTTTAAAATGATAATTATAACGAAACAATCAATGATGTAAGTAAAAAAGTTTAAATGATTATTAACAATCATGTATACTATTTTTAAAAAAATGCAATATAACATTATCAAAGTTTTTAATTATGGATATATGGTACGATTTTTAACACTACACAACAGGACTGTAAATAAGCGTCGAAACACATTTATACGACCCTTACAACTTTAAAACCATGCTATGGTATGATAAAATGATTTTTTTAAATAACTTTTTGCTTAAAAGTATTTTTAGATAGTTAAAAAAATGAGTTAGGAAGTTTTAGTATATGTTTTCATAACTTTTTTGCTTTTTTTCCTCTTTCTAGCGGAATTGCCCATATATATATATATATATATATATATATATATATATATATATATATATATATATATATATATATATATATATATATATATATATATATATATATATATATATATATATATATATATATATATATATATATATATATATATATATATATATATATATATATATATATATATATATATATATATATATATATATATATATATATATATATATATATAATCATTCACCCAAGCTAAAATATGATAAAGATATTTTTGTTGTAATTTTTCTTCAAGATCATCATAAAAATATGCATATTGCATATTTAGTTCCAGCTTCTTAGTACAAAAACAAAGAAAAAGGAAAAAACACGCACAAAAATGGAAATGCAAAATTTTTATATACTTATATTTTAAATACAAACTATCATTAATATTTTATATTTAAAGCTAATTTTACAAAATCAGACAAAAAGACATTTAACAGAACTGGGCAAAAATCAAACGACAAAAATACCTAGACAAAAATCAACCACTTAAAGATTTACATACCATAGAATCAAATCATCACATAAAGTTCTAAGTCTTTTACAGGTACATGATAAATTAGCTAGATCTTTTGGTCTTATGAAACTGCAAACTTTTAATACAAGTTCATCAGGTAAAAACTTCTGCATGTAATTTTTGTTTTGATGGTCAGCATGCTGCTGCAACGATTGTCTAGCTAAAAAAAAATTATTGCATTATCATTTGGTATAATGTAAAAAAACTTATCTTCTAATAATTTTATAGTATATAATAATAACTAATTGAAAATCATTAGTAAAAAATGAGTAATAAACTATTTCATGTAATCCACTAGAATCCAAAACATATAATCACACATGTAATCCACAAGAATCATAGGTGTAACATTAGCAAAAAACTTTTGTTTTTCTTGCACACAACAAAGTTGTTTGAAATAGTTTGTAGATAAATTTAACTTTTCACTGAATGAATTTTTACTCAATTTTACTCAATTACATAATAATAATTACATACACAACTTATGCTTGAATGTTTTTATTTTGTACATTAATAAAAACATAAGCATTAATTTTTATTACACATGTAGGCAGTGTTTTTTAATTCTTAAAAAACTATGTTCTAAATCATATAATATTTAGCTAATTTATAATTGAGATAAAAAAATACTTTCTTTTTTTTAAACACAATTTATTTAACTTTTTTCCTTCATTTATCAATCAATATTATTGATTGATGATTGACCTAAATAATTTGTTTAGAATTCCAATATTCAAATAACTTAAGTACAACCAATAATGACACCAAAACTTAAATAAGACATAAGAAATGCTTTAGCTGGTGAAAGGCAACTGGAAATAAATCTAAGATTACAGTACTGATTAGAGATGAGTTTTATTTTTTGTATTCTTTCGACTAATTCCTATATTTCTTTTTTAACAATAAAATAGATTTAAAATTTTTATTGCTTTGATAATCATTAATTTAATAACACTTGTTTTGTTTTTAATTAGCATTTTATCAGCTTTCAGAAATGCAATAGCAATGGTACAATACCACTTTTTGAATACTTAAATTAACAAATTTATTCTAAAAAATATTAAACATAAATTATCAATGTCATAATGCAAGCATTTTTTTAGCAGATCAAAGTAATTATATCTTTAAATATTATTCTACTTTTAAATATTAGGTTTAAAACATTATAATGAACAATAGTGTTAAAAGTCTTTTTTTTTACAACTAATGTTATTTATAATCAAATTTTCAATTCATAACTAATCAAAATTAAATATAAAAGGAAAAAAGTAACTAATAAATAGGCAGTATTTTTTCTCTTTTGAACTTTTTTTTTTTTTTTTTTATATATATAATTTTTAGTAACCACGTTAGCAACCATATTACAAATCTGTAATTTACTAATACTCTATTCTCTGAAAAAAACTAAATTAAATTTGATACAAACTAATACAAAATTACAAAGAAAAAAAGAGAACTAATTAAAAATTTATTTTGAAAAGTCAAACTACTTTAATTTAAAAATAAGTAAACAAAACTCTATAGGAATTAGAGATTTGTTTATTTGTTTTTATGTGTAGAAAACCTACTCAACCTATGTGTAGAAAACCTACTCAAAAACCCCTAAAAAAGCCAATAGTCAAAAAGCATATTTTTTTTATAAATCTACCACTGATATAATGCAAGGAAGAAACATGTTAACAAAGACCTAAAAAGCTGTAAATTATTTAAATATGATTAACACAATAAGTGGAGAGCACTCTAAATTGCAGATGTTGAAAAAAACTAGATAAACTTTTTTGACCAAGTAATCACTATAAAATACTTAACTCAATGGCTCAAACAAAGTTTGTTATGAATTGCAAAAAGATTTGTGCAACTTAAAGTAGAAAATAACAGGAGAGGTTACTAAGGACCAATAAAAAAATAATTAAAATTGACTTTTGAGCAAGCTTTAAAAGATTTACTGTGTTTATGCTTTTTTTAGACATAAAAATGCAACATTGTCTTAAAAAAAATCATTGTTATTAAAAGAACAAGCTAAGATATGACAACAGAATTGTCAAGATTAGTTATTATATTATATTGTATTATATGACATTAAATGTCATATAATACAATATAATATAATAACTAATTTTGTTAATCTATGTAGACGATTTTCGAAAAAAATTGTATTATTTCTATTAATTAAACTTGTGTTATTATTTATTGTATTATTTATCTATTATTAATTTGTTAGATTATCAATATTCTCTATATATTTGTATTCATTTTACATTTAATGTTTACATTACCTTTTATAAACTTTTAGAAAATTCTTTTAACAATCAATTCATTGTAAATTTTTAAAACAAATTTTTTACAAGATTTTCAATATGAATGAAATTTTTACATTATACCCAAATAAATATTATTAAAAAATGTATAGCACTAAATTAAAGTTAGAAATAATAAAAATAGCAAAACTTTTTTTTATTCATGAATTATTAAAATATTTCTGATATAAAATAAACTAAACTTGTCCTCATAAAAACTCAAGAACAACAATTGTTATCAATGCATTTTAAAACGATCAAAGAACTTTTTTTCGGATAAATTATGCTATAAATTATAAATAAAATTACAAAAAAAAATATTTTTTAACAAATGTTAAATTATTTATGTGCTTATTTAGTAATATTTAAAAGAAATCCCTACCAATATAAAACTAAATGGCTCTAAAAAATCTACATTATTTAACCTTACTATAATTATTTTCAAGTATATTATAAATATATAAAGTAATAATATCCATCAAGCCATATGCTATAAAGTCAGGTACAAGCATATGTAAAAGTTTTAATACAGACATAGGTAAAAGGTTAGGTTCAAACATATATAGCCCTACAAAGCTATCAAGAATAAAACAAATTTATAAAAAATTTTTTCCATATATAGCAACTTAGTATTTAATACAAAATAAGATTAAGAAACAATTAATAATAATAATTATCCACAATATAATAATAACAATTATCCACAATATAATAGTAGCAACAAGGCTAAAAAATTTGGTTAAAGATACTCTAATAATTATGACTAAGAAAACCCAACCTTTTTTAACCTTTTTAACTAAGCTACTTTGATATTGAACATCATTAAAACAAAGTCACCAAACACAAAGAAAATTCGATATACAAAACTAGAAAAGTTTCTGTACATCCACAATACATTACAAGAAAATAATGGATAAATGTAAATGGACATGCAAATATAAGTATTTCTGTATGTATACACATATTTTTATATGCATATGTGTTTATGCTTCCAAATACATTTCCATGTTAAGAAGGTAGTAAATAAAATTACAGAATTTTTTATAAAATCTAAAATCTTACAATACATGTTTCTTGAACCAGTATGATTAGGAGAAAATTTTTTTATGGATTTTGTGAAAAGAACATTTTATTGTGTGGAGGAGCACAGTGATTGATGGTTTTTTTTTTTCTACATAAATTATTTATTACAATAAGCATTCATTAGGTATCCTTAATTAATTTAAGATCAACTCTAAGCTGTGCTTTAAAAATTTCATGTATCTTTAAATTTTTTATGCTATTTATTATAAAATGAGATTGAACATTGCATTTTAAATTTGTATAAATGCTTTAACGCTTTTCCCAATCATGCCATACAATTTTGCATTTGATTAATGCTTAATGTAAATGTTTCATAAAATTATAATGTATTTGAATGGTATGTTTCTAAATAGTACAATAAATGCAAAAAATATTAATAAAAACAAGAATAAGAGGATAACACTTCAAGTTATATAAAGTTTATTTTACAAAAAAGTAGTCTTACTTTTACTCCTAAGACTCTTCATTTTATAAGAGCAAAAACTAAACAAAAAATAAGAATCTGCTTAACCCTGAGCAGATGAAGTTTCTAAATAACTAATTTTAAGAAATATATACATGAATGTAAAAAGTATAGAAGGAATTTAGAAAATTGTTCCTGGTTAAGTGTTCATTGATCTTGAGTAGCATGAACCCATATTGAGGACAAATTAGCCAGTTACTTTGAGCATTCCTCTCAATACTTCAAAATGATATTGAGTATATTTTAAATGAAAGGAATTCACTGAACTTGAGGCTCCTTTAAATTATAAATATTGCATAACATGGCAGAGGGGTTTACTTTCTTCTGAAGTAAGATCAAAATTCTGCTATTACATCATACAAAAACAATAAAAAGATTACTGTTGCATCTGTTTACACACATGCACATAAAAGGTTGTACTCAAACAAACAAAAAACTCAAGAAACATTAGAAAAAGAAAATTAACATAAGTATTAATGATTATTTGAATATTCATGAAAACATTTTAGTAATTAATTTAACATGTTTTTTTACAAATGATTTATAGAAGTTCACGGTAAAACGTCCGTCAAAAAATTTATTTGCATTTTGATATTGGACTTTTGTTTTATAAACACATATTTTCCATATAAAAATTCAATAAAAAAATATACAAATCTATACATTAAATGCATTAATATTAATTTTTTTTTAAATATGCTATTAATAATTTAATAATCGTTCAACCCCTCAAAGCCAAAAATCTATCAACTCATTACAAGCATAAACACCAAGATTATTTATACATACCTAGCATACAGACTGTAAGTTACAAAAGTTATTAATTTTTTGAAACGCATTGTAGAGTTGTTCAAAAGTCCATAATGATCTACAAACATTATCCATCACTGGGTTTTAGAAACACAATATATTTTAATTTTTTTATCTCAATATGAACTTTTCAACCAAAAGCGCAACAATAAAACAAATCAAACGAGAAAAGAATAAAATAGCTTAAATAACAAACCGATTTATGCTGAGTTGTTAGAAACAAAAAAAACGGTTATACTAAAACGTTATTAGTGTTCCGCGTAAGTAATATCGGTGTTAAGGTTAAGTTAAGTTTCTGTTTTTAAAATTGTCACTGTGTGTGAAAGTTCAGATTGGCTGTACAGGAAATGTTGAAACAATTCGGCAAGAGTTACTAAGACTTAGTTAAGTGTAATACACGTTTAAAGTTCAACTGTGTTAAGCTTAAACTCTATTCCTATAAATGGCACCGGGTAGAGATGTGACGCGTTTTTTGGGTTCTTGTTTCTTTTGTTGTTTTTTTGTCGTTTTATTGAGAAAAAAAACATAGGAGTCTATTTTTTTTAGAAATATATAAAAACTCATTATTTAAGCTTCTAAATTTTTATTTTTAACGGCAATATCATAATTCATATTTTAATTTCAGATTTAAATAGGACAATTAATACTGAAATATACTGACATTCTTTTAATTTTGGTATGCTTAACGGTGAACACGGTTGGAGCAGTCCTTTCTACAAATTTCTTAGATAGTTTTATCTACCTCAATTTTATCTTTATTGGTTTTAGTGTTGTATATTGACACAATAAATATTGTTTATTTACATTTTTTATGTTTAATTACATTTAATATTTAATATATATATATATATATATATATATATATATATATATATATATATATATATATATATATATATATATATATATATATATATATATATATATATCAAATATCAAATGTACATATATATATAGTAAAATTATGAAGATTATAAAATTGAATGAAGATTGAATGCTGGCTTTACGATCAGACATTGATCATTAGGGTGTACAAAAAAAAAAAAAAAAAAAAAAATGCCTCTCAATGTTTTCCCATTCTCTAAGTACAAATAGGCTCAAAAAAGCAAAAAAACTATTTTTGCTTTTGTAAAAGTGATAGCTGTGAGATTTCATTTTTCAAAAAAAAAGCAATTTTTACAAAAAAACTATGTATTTTAGTAACTCTCTTAAAAATATATATTTTAACTTTAAAAATTAAACGTTTATGAGTTGTTTCTTTGTTAGTTCTTTATTTAGTTTTTTTCTGTTGTCTCTGGCAACGAGCATGAGGTTTTGTTTTATGTCATCCGAACTGTAGCCTCTAACAAAATCCTGCATTAGTCGGATATTTCTTTTAGCGCTGTCATTAACAAATTCAATCGATTTCAAAAACCTTTTAGATAGATCAAAAGTTTCACTGGCATCTTCCTTGAGCCACTTCTCCGCCTCTCCAAATGGAATACTTGCTACTATAAACAAGATCCAACTCTGGGAACCTACCAGCTCAAATAGCTCAGTTGACCTTTTGATAACTGGTAGCTTTGGTTTCCCATAGAAACTGCTTGGGTATATCATACTTGACCAACTTTTTCAACATCTTTTTTTTTATCTTCTCGTCAACATCATCGTCAGCTAGGACCAGTATAACTAACTGTTCTATTAAGTACCAAGCGTACCGAAGCATGCTGACAAGAAGAGCCTGCCTTATTTCAAACGATGAATTGAAGGCAGCTAGGTCATTTGAAGGTGACATGTCAAACATATATGGTTTTAAGAACAGGGTCTATAGCACATTAATATCTATAGCACATAGCATCTGCCATGAGCCTTTAGAATAAATTATTATTATTATTAGTTTTATGGAAAATTTTTGAAAATGTACTCTCTTCTAATAATACAAATTATTTATAATCATACCTTTAAACATAAACTTTAATCATACTTGGCTTTGTGGCAGGCTCCAGGGTGATGAAAACGAAACCCCGGTACATTTCCTTCGAAATAGAATACAACAAGTTTGCAGAGCTTCTTGTATTCGCCTCTTTTAAATATCTTTGTGGTCAGTGCCTTTTTGCAAAACTCTAAGGCATCCCTTGTTTGTTGATCCAATTCCAATTCATTCCAATCAAACCTAATTACCTCCTCCATCTTATCTACCTCCTCATTGATGCTTGGCCAGGCTTTCTGAAGTCTTAAATATTGCTCTCCTGGGCCCCTTTGTTTTTTCACCAGTAAGAGCCTCCATGAAATGTGAAATATTTATCACAAACATCTGTCGTCTGCAGAGAAACCAGAGAAACGGAATGTTGAGGATATTTGTAAGGATGGTAATGGCTCCAGCAAATACTTCAGTGTTTAAAGCTGTCACAGCATATGGCAAAGATCTGATCAACAATGTTGTAATACTCTAGTAGATTTAAGATTAAATCTGCCTGATTAACTCCCTAGGAACTTTGAGTTTGAACTACTCCAAGGATAATATTATTTGTGTCGTCAATATCTGGTGATGTAACACTAACAGAAATCTTTTCAACACTAACATTAATATTTAGATTATCCTACATCTCTTTAATTTTTTTGCTGTCGAAGTGCAGGACAAGTCTTTTCCCCTTCAATGTTTTTATTATATCTGCGATATCTGATCTCCTAATATTCAAGCTTTATTACCAATTTAATTAAGTTTTTATTTATCCTATTATTTAATTCAATTAGTTATTTTTACCTGATTGGAGATTGCTGCAATGATCGCGGTTTAAGGTCGGATTCCAATCCTATACCGAGCAGATACCACAGAAGTACAATCCTCTAGATCCTCATGTCTAAAATTGATCATTATCTAAATATTAAATAGGAGTGATATTTCTAATCTAATTGAATGCAGTTAAATTTAGTTTACTCAAATTTTATACAAATAACTTTAGATTTTATAACAATTTTTTATTTACCTTGACTTTTATTGTAGAACCAAAGTTTTGAAATAATTCATCGGCGTTATGTTCATCTGCGAAAACTGCAGCATCTGGCTTGGATGCAGATGAGTTGATATCAGAATCATATGAAACCTCATTAAAAACCATTTTCTTTTTATCTTTTTCCGATGTTGTAATCTTCATATTCTTCATGCTTTGCCAGCAATCCTATCTATTTTTAATATATGCTTCAAACTCTTTGTCTATTTCTGTAGCTATATAAATTTTTCAATCCTCTTTCTGGTCTAAAAAAAACTGAATGTCTTCCACCTTGGCATCCTGGATACGAAGGCGACTGACTGGGTTTTTTCCTCAAAACTCGCTACAAATAGAGTTTGGTGCTCTCTGAATGAACTCTCTCTGGATCAAAGTAAATCTATCAGTTCTGGAATCCCAGTATAGTTCTCTCAAATGGATCAGCTTGCAATACTTAGTATGGAGTTTCAAAATCTTATCCCTTAATGATATAAAAAATCATTATATAAAGTTTCATAATTACCATGGTATGGTTACTTTTTATAAATCATGTTAATAATATTAATGTTTGTTGGTTTACTTATATTTTGTTTATATAAAATTAAAAATTGCATTATTTCTTACCTGACAGCAGCTCCAGAAAGAATAAACTCTCCGAAACCAGCTTTGTTCCACACATCCATTACAAGAGAAGTAACACATCTGTGGTTGGGATTTCTACATAATCCACCCTTGCAGATAAGATCTTTGCCTGGATACGTTTGAAAGCAAGCTTCAATTGGCTTATTAGATTTAAATTTCAAAGACCTTAGAGATTTGATAAACTGCATGTATCTACCCAGTGGGCACGGACAAAAAAAAGACGTCTTTTAAACGTCTTATTTACGTTTTAGACGTCTTTTGAACGTTTTGGACGTCTTTTGAACGTTCAAAAGACATCTCTTTTTGGTCCGGTGCCCACTGGGTAAGAACATTTCCAATACTGAGAAGCTGGTTTATAGGTAACTGGTTGATAGGATACTTGAGAAGAAACAATAGCCTTCTAGGATTGATCTATATCTTTCTCTTTTCTCCTTTATTTGTATATTTTGTGCGAGAACGGCTTATATTATAAAATACTATGATATCTTAAATTAAATAACATACATGAGTAAATTTAATCACCTTAAAAATATAAAAAACATGTAACCAAAACCGAATAATTAAATTTATCTTTTTAATTTTTTTGAGCACAATTCAATTAGTACATGTACTAATGGAATTGTGCTCAAAAACATGCATATTTAGAGTAAGGTTGAACAATACTAAAAACGTAACATGCCAAGTAGCCGATGGTCAATTAAAAAGATAAACTTAATTATTTGGTTTCGGATTATTGTTTTTTAATTATCTACAAGACTACCATACATTGGTTGTTTTTTGTTTGTTGGTATTTGAGGATTTTTATTAAAAAAATTTGACGTGTAGGAATTCTTAATCTTTTGAGTAAAAATATCTTTTGACTTTCTTACAAAAAAATATCTTTTGACTTTCTTACAAAAAAATATCTTTTGACTTTCTTACAAAAAAATATCTTTTGACTTTCTTACAAAAAAATATCTTTTGACTTTCTGACAAAAAAACGTTTTCGTAAGCTTAAGTATATTTTTGAATCTGCTCAGCATTTTGAATAAGTAAATAAGTTTCGAAGAGCCAGAGGAGATCTTATTGAACAGTTTAAAATTGTGAATAAAATTGATGATGTTAATTTTTTTGTTCCTAAAAGGTAATGGACCGTAAACACACAGATCAAAACACATAAAATGTACATCAAAACAAACATGTAGAAAACAATTTGCAGGTTTTGATAATAAAAAATAAATAACAAAAAATTACTGATGATAATTGTAGTAATTACGAAAAGAAAATTAAAATAATATTTTAATCGTAATAATGCCTAAAAGTTATAATAAAAAGTTTTTTAGAATTTTTTTAAATTAATATTGTTTAAGATGGAGTAAATTTTAGGATATATTTTTTGGACTCATTCAAAATGCATGCAAGACTCCTGTTCCATTCACAGACGCACTGATAAACAATAGAATGTTTACCATACTTCTGTGTTTTAAAAGATGGTACATTTAGTTTTCCATTGTGTATATTTCTAGTCTAGTAGGAATGTAATAGTCTACTTTCTGTGAACAAGTTTGTGATAAGAGATAGTATGTTTTTATTTAAGGAGTCAAAAACAAAAAGAAGATTAGCATACTTTATTAGCGCTGGAAATGTTGGAATAAAAAGTTTTTTGAAGGACTCTGATGTATCTGATTTAATTAATTGGAAGTTTATTAATCTGATGGATTGACGCTGAGACAATAGAAACTTGTTAATGCGATAGTTTCCAACTTGACAACAAAAAGATGCTAATCGCTAAGATGAGATGAGAATAATAAATAGTAAATATTCTTAAATGTAACTTTATTGACATAATTACGAATTATTGAAAGCATACCGTTAGCTCTAGATTCTTGCTTAGTTCATCAATATGAAAGTTCTATGAAAGATTGTTATCAATTAATACACCAAGATATTTAGTAACTCTTGAAGGATATAGCCGTTTATTATTAACTTTGATTTTAGTTTCATCATTTTTGAAGAAACTGTTTTTTCTTGGCGATAAAAAAACAATATTTCCGTTTTTTCGGTTTTGAGACGTATTAGATTAGCAAAATTGAGATTAGATTAGCATTTAACCAGTGAATTTTATATCCGAGTTAACATTCTTACATAAAAATTTGTTGATGTGCAAGAGACTTGTATCATCAACAAACCGATGAACTGAAGAGAAGTGAACAGAGTTGATTAGGTCATTGACGTAGATTAAAAACAAAAGAGAAATTAAAACAGAACCTTGAGGAACACCACACAAAACTGATTTATTACTAGATTTGAAACCATTAATACTCACAAATTGTTTTCGATCTGAATTATAAGATCAAAACCAGTCATTTACAATACCACGAATTCCATAATGTTTTAGTTTAGAAATCAAAGTATTATGGTCAACGGTATCGAAAGCTTTTTGTAAATTGATAAAAACACCACAAACGAAATGACCAGTTTCAAGGGCTTTCCTGATTTTTTCCGTTATACTTAATAATGCATGGCTAGTAGAATGTTTTGATCGAAAACCAAATTGAAAATCATTTAAACAATTTAATGAGTTTAGATTAAATTAGTAATAAGATTACACTCTAGAATACATAAGTTTCTCAAGAAGCTTACTTATGTTAGATAAAAGAGAAATAGGTCTGTGGTAGTGCATAAAAGTTTAGAGCCATTTTTAAATATTGGAATAATGCAAGATAATCTCAAAATATCAGAAAATGTTCCATTTATAAATGAGGTATTAAATAGTTTAGAAAGAATACTTGAAAACTCGTAGCTAAAATCTATAAGAATATTTGTAGGAACGGTTTGGACCTGATGTTTTTGGATTCAATTTAGATGTAAGAGATGAAATTTTAGGAATATTTGTTGGAGATAATAATAACCTATGTAAATTTGGATGTTTAAGATATTTTTGATTGTTAATGCAAGATGAATGAATATTGTATTTGAGTTGATGAGCAACATTTGTAAAAAAAAGTGTTAAATAATTCAGAGATTAAAGTTGGGTCAGTTATATATGTATCATTTTCTTGCAAACAGTTGAGAGAAGATTTATTTAAATATTTTACATTAATTAGAGTGTTAATAACTTTCCAAAGTTCGCGAAGATTTATTACATTTTCTGAGAAAAAACTTTTTTAATGTTTTTTTTTTACTTAGTTTAAATAATGTAACTATCATATACTTATATCTTTTAAAAATACTTTCAATTTTTTTTTTATTAATAGGATCTTTAGATTTTAACACTTTTTGTTGGAAAAGATTGCGCACTTGAATAGATTTTATAATTCCTTTTGTAATCCATGGTTTGAATCGAAGTTTGAAGTTTTTGACACTTATTTTTTCAAGAGGGGTAAGCGATCTAAAACCAATGTTGTTTCAGTTATAAATGTTTGGAAACATGAGTTAGTATCATTGGACTTTGTAATATTGTCCCAGTTAATTTTTGAAAATCAGATTTAAAGTTTTCTTTATTAAAGTTTTTTAAAACTTCTGCTATATAAATTGTGTCTGCGTGGTATAAATGATTTATTGAAATTGGGACAATTACAAAATTGAGGTAAGTGATTAGAAACAGAAGTTGTCAAATTTCCTGAAACAATTTCATTAGCTATTAAACAAGAGAAAATATTATCAATAATTGTAGCAGAGTGATCAATAATTTAAGTCGGCAAAGTAATAAAAAAGGGCGAATATTATAAAAAAAAACAAGTTTAAAAAATCAGAGGTTGCAATGTCATTATTTGATTGCATTAGATCAATATTATAATCACCAAATAAGTAAACAGATTTATTTTCAGCAGATATTTTTTGAAGCAACCAACAATAATATTGGATTTTTTAGAAAAAATAACTTCAACATATGTGGATTCTAAACAATTAGGTATATAAATCATTAAATCAACTCTTCGTTTGTATATTAGTTTTTTTGATAAATATAATAATGTACGGCCATAAGAGAATTCCGTTGGTGTGTGTTCAATGTTGTAATTATCAATTAGTTAGTATAGAGATGCCAGGTATTGCATCTCTTCGTCAATATACTTTATAATTAATAATTAACTAATTTACAGTATTATTAAATTTTGTAAAAACATAAATAAATTATTCTTGATTGTAAATTTATTGATTCTAAATAAAATAAAATTCAAGTTCATATATATATATATATATATATATATATATATATATATATATATATATATATATATATATATATATATATATATATATATATATATATATATATATACATATATATGTGTGTGTGTGTGTGTGTGTGTGTGTGTGTGTGTGTGTGTGTGTGTATGAATTTTGAATGTGTGTGTGTATATGACATGTGTGTATATGAGTTTTGAATTTGATTTTATTTAGAATCAATAAATTTACAACCAAGAATAACTTATTTATGTTTTTACAAAATTTAATAATGTTGTAAATTAGTTAATCATTAATTATAAAGTATATTGACAAAGAGATGCAACATCAGGTCTCTCTATACTAACTAATGTTAGCATAGAGATGCGAGGTATTGCATTTTTATACTAACATTAAATGTTAGTATAGAGATGTAACACCACTAAAATGAAGAATAGTGTTGGGCTTCGAGGATGACTTTATTAAAGCGGTTGAAAGAAACAATTTGAAAATCTTAAAAAAATTTTCAGATTCACTATATGAAGCAAGATGTATATAAGGGTGCTTTTAAACCTTATTAAGATAAAAAAAATCAGAAATCAGTTTTTTTCATGTGCTGCGGGGTTTTTTTTTGCGATTAATCTAAATCTAATTTAAGTTTAATTTAGTTCCTGCTCAAACTTATTTTCTATTCAACAGTTGAATAGAAAATGAGCTTTAATTTAATATGAAAATTCATTTTTATACTTGAAACTGTTAATTACTATTTTAATATAAAAATTCAAATTACCATCAAATAAAGATTCGCTAGCGCAACTCATAAAAATAGCTAGTTTTGATCACATATAGCGATGATTAACCAATCAAGTCCGTTTAGAAATGGTTGGTTTAATTATCAAAGTTTCATTGCCATATCTTTAACAGAATTGCCTTCTGTACCAGTTGTTCAATTTTATTCATAGCTTTTGCTGTAGTGATCGTTCCACAAAAAGATGTTCTTCTAATAAAGCTTTGCACTTTGCGCTGTTTTGCACAATTTGCACTGACCTTTACAAATGTAATGGCTATACCGATCATGGTAATAACCATCCAGAGGTGGTTATTACCATGAAGAAGAAATCTATTTTTGTTTAATAGAAACCGTCCTAGTTAATTAAATTAGTCAAGTGTTAATTAACTTCTATTGCTTTTTTCAAATGTTGCGTGTTAATTAACTTTTATTGCTTTTTTCGATTATTGTGTGTAACATTAAACTTAAAAAATATTTTTAAAAACATCAGCACCATAATCTTTAACGTCTATCAACTGAGTTTCGATTTTGGATTTCATATCGGGTTATAAATTTGTTCAAATTCTTTGTTTTTTTTTATTATTCCTATTCCTCGTTGAGCAAACAAACAAACACGAACGTTTTTAATAACATCTCGTACAATCTCAATTATTCAAAGAGTTTTACTTAAGTTTTTAACAATGGAATATATTTTAAGAGATTTTTTTATTTAATGAGGAGCTTTTTTTTTGAATTATTGAAAAGTTTAGAATATTTAAAATCTGGTAAAATAAAAACTTTTCGATTTTTATATCACCCTAAAAAGTGACGTA